TGTGTGTGTGTGTGTGTGTGTGTGTGTGTGTGTGTGTGTGTGTGTAACGTTCCTGAGCTCTTTGCAGATCTAATGCCCGGGTAAAAAAGAAGATGTGGTGGCTGTTGTATCCTTAGATTTTCAGAGGCATTTGGTAGGATTGCATATGAAAGATCATTCACTCGGGGCCTGATCCAAAGCTCACTGAAGTCAATTGAAGGTCCCCTAGTGACTACAGCAGGTTTTGGTTTGGGAGCTAGAGCAGCAAGGAAAGGGTTAACACTGGGATTAGAAGTACATTAAAATGGTTCATAATATGTTGTGTAAATGGTAGTTTTTCTAACTGGAGGAATGTTCGTGATACACTAGATCGGGTACTATGGGGCCTCTCTTCTGTGAAGTTATGGGTGGGTCAGATTAGAATATCAGATGCAAGAGATCAAAGGCTTACGCTGAAACAAAAACAGAGGGGCAGAAGGTGTCATTAAAAAGCACAGACGTCACTATTGTAGCTACGCTTCCGGTTCTGTAGAATCAACAGGATCTTTCCATGTGGGGTCCTGCAATGGCGGCTCCCAGCAGGGCAGGACGGTGGGTGGGAATGGAGACCTGTAGAAATAGTAAAAAAAACGAGGCACCTTGTGGCACCTTAGAGACTAACACATTTATTTAGGCATAAGCTGTCGTGGGCAAGAACCCACTTCATCAGATGCATGGAGTGAAAAATACAGGAGCAGGTATAAATACAAGAAAGGATGGGGTTGCTTTACCAAGCGTGAGGTCAGTCTAAATCAATTAACAACAGAATACCAAGGGAGGAAAAATAACTTTTGAAGTGGTAAGAGAGTGGCCCATTACAGACAGTTGACAAGAAGGTGTGAGTAACAGTAGGGAGAAATTAGTATTGGGGAAATTAAGTTTAGGTTTTGTAATGATCCAACCACTCCCTGTCTTTATTCAGGCCTAATCTGATGGTATCCAGTTTGCAAATTAATTCCAGTTCTGCATCTTCACATTCGAGTCTGTTTTTGAAGGTTTTTTGTTGAAGAATGGCCACTTTTAGGTCTGTTATTGAGTGACAGAGAGATTGAAGTGTTCTCCTACTGGTTTTTGAATGTTATGATTCCTGATGTCAGGTTTGTGTCCATTTATTCAGACTAACACGACTACCACTGAAACCTATAGAAATAGTGTCTCTGTGTTTCAGTGATAGCGGTTATGCTCCCAATAAAGAGTTAATCAGCTTCTGGGAGTGCGATTTTTTTGTAGGGGATGATTTAGCTCAGATGTGGAAAACGGAGTTTAATGAGGAAATGTAAAACCAGTGGCCTGCAGAGAATAAACCCAAATAGAGAGAACGCAACTCCAGGGACCTGTCATTCGGGATAGTGAACAGACAGGGACTGTAGAATGGGTGAGAGACCATCCCTGAAGCCGTCTGCACAGGGTGTGGCTTTAGTAACAATGGCCAATGAGATACTGGTCTGCATCGGCAGAGGAAATGACTATGATTGGGAGCACAAGATCTGGCTGGACCTCACCTGAGTGAGCCCTCCACTTGGGGGAATATTTCTGTTGGCAGCAGGGCCACCCAGAGGATTCAGGGGGCCTGGAGCAAAGCAATTTCGGGGGCCCCTTCCATAAAAAAAAAGTTGCCATCCTA